GAGGTTGAGACCTGTGATTTTCTTCTAATCCCAGGAATGTTATCTTCAGATACTGGCCTTCCACAGTACCTTCACCCATCAGAATGAACAGTTTATTGATTGCTGGGTCTCATTTCTCATGCCCTTCCAGCCATTCTGTGTTCGTCTTTGGTATAGTAGTGCTGATCTGGAATGAAATTATCTTTGTATTCATTCTGGTATGACCTTCTTTTCATGTAGTAATGTTTGTAAATCAGAACATTCTGGGATGCCTTTATTCATTAAGCTGTCAGCCATGCATTGTATATGTTCACACAGGTTACTTTTTGCTCAGACATAGATGGTCTTAGGTTTAATCAGGTTCTACGTGTCTCCATATTTTGTCTCAAGGTAGGCCAGGTTTCTGGTCTATTCCGTTCTTGTTCTCAGTCATCTGGGTTTTGTTTCTTTTTCACATACTCTCTGGATGATGTGTCATATCAATCCATGTTCAATATAATTCTAAGCTTCATTGTACCCTTGTTCCCTACTCTTGCTGCTGCTGCTGTTTTCTTGAAGATAATGCCCCATTAGAATGCTTCCAAGCTAATTCAAAACTTTCCCTTACTATTTGGCTCAGCTCAATTTTCCCCAATAGGGAATAATCTTTCACATCCCTCAGAACTTTTTCTTTGACTTTGAATGTTAGGAAAAGCTTTTTATTTCCCCTACCCTCAAATCAAGTACCTACGTTTAGCCTCCAACTCAGTAAAAGGACTATCAAATTTGTTTCTACTCTCTGCCTGAAAAGAAAACAAGTGTTGTGGCAGTTCTGAATATTTAGCAACCGTTCTATATTCTTCAGAAATGCAAGAGTAGCACTGTTGTCATTTTGACCCACTGGTTTATTTTATTTATTTCTTTATTTGCAAATTTTTTCTGGCCCCCCATCTTAATCAAGTAATTCTGGGTGAATAACAAAGCAGAAAACAGAAACCTACATATGAAAACAGTAAAAAAAACAATAGAAGATGACAGGTAAAAATAATCAGCTCATCAAAACTGTCAAACAATGCAGAACAAAACACACAGACTGGGCTCCCCTACCATTCTGACCTTGAAGCTGGAGGGAAGAGCCAGGTTTTTAAGGACTTCCAAAAGGCCAACAGGGTTGAGGCCATCTGAACATCAGGGGGGTGGGAGAGACTTTCATGAAACCTAATCTGGTTTATACCTCCAGCTCCCCCACGTCAGGTGTTCTTGGCATGTGCTGAAAACTCCCTGAACTCCCAGCCAGCAAAGCTAATGGGAAACTTTTGTCATGTCCAGCTTTTTCTTCCTCTTCTTCCGCTCCCCCGGGGATTTTTGTTTGTTTAATTTCCAGCCTGGATTTCTTTTCTGAGAAGCTTGAAAGCATGCTCACTCTTTTGTAGCAGTAATTAACATTCATAATATTGTACTATTGTTAGAAATCCCTTTGGGCCAGACGCTTCTCCAAAGGAGATTAATTTCATAAAGTCAGCATTTGCTTATTTTCAACAGAGGCAGAAGTGTTGATACGTTTTGGGTTTTAAACTACCAACATCCCACAGTAATGGGGCTCTATTCATCAGTGCATGCTCCAAAAGGCTGTATAATGAGCTGCTGTTGAAAGAAGTGAGATTCTTCGTCATGCGTCGCTCTGCAGGGACTGTATGTACAGGATAGGTTGCCCAAGTATGATGAATACAAAAGCATTTTTAATCAAATGGTTCAGCATATAGACTCATGTAAACCTCAAGGATCTAACTGAAGGATAAGCAGTTTACAAATACTTGAAGGCTGTTTTTCAATGTGTGCTTCATCGGAGCAAGGACAGTTTTTCCCTTGTCAGTTGGTGAGAATTAAGGTACAGTGGTTACAACAACAATAGCAACAATATATTTTATTACAGCTGTTGGCCTGCAAAAACTACAGTGGTTGTGGCAGCCATGGCAACATAGTAAAGATTTGGATCACCAGAGAGATACAGGTTCAAGTCTACCAGCAAGAAAGTTTGCTGGGTGACTCTGGGCCTGCCACTCTCTCTCAGGCCAACCTATCTATCTCACAGGATATTAACCAAAACTGGCCTAACAGTTTTTAAAAATTTCCCAAACCCTGGAAGAATTACAGAACATTCAATCCCATCTATGTTTTTGATGTGATTCATTCCACTCTTCTTTCCCTATCCTCCCACAAATATCAAATGGCTCCATGGATTTCTCTATCCTAGCTGTTCCTTCTTAGCTATGGTATTTTATCCTTTACACAATTATTGAAATGTAATAATTATATGCTAGAAATACAAGAGAATGTTATTACCTATAAGATGAAAATCAACAGTAGTATGCTTTGTCAAGGTGTGCCATACTTTTAGCCAACCTTCAGTTGTCCAAGTAGTAGCAAACACTTCCTAAATTGCATATGATTTGCTTCTCTTTTATATTCTAGTTTTATCAGTTGAATTGCCCTATCCTCCATCCAGTATCTTTGGGGCCTTCATTAACATGAACTTTAATAAAATGGTTTGTTCAATGAGCAAAGCAATTAAAAGAACGAAAACCCTTTAAAACACACTTGAAAATTGAATTATTTGTGTCTCCTTTAATGAGATTTTCTCTGACTTTCTGCTGAGCAATTTCATTGAATGGGTATTAATGAGCAACTGTAGTCATCTTCTGTCTTCGTTTAACTGGAGTTTCAACTCATATTTTCTCTCTCCTCGCCCCCCAGAATCCATTTATAAGAGCTGATAGAGCTGTATAAAGTTTGCATTTAAGCTGCATGCAGATCTGCAAGGAGTGAAAGAGAAACATGGTCAAATTCCAAGTAATTGGCTATATTAGACAAGTTTTCCCCAACTCACTGCCTTCCAGATAGGTGGATATTAAAATTTCCAGAATTCTTGGCCAGACTGCAGCCATGCTCATTGGTAATCTTGGGGAAAGTAATCCCAATACATCTAGGAGTACAAGGTTTGGGAAAGCTACATTAACCATTATATGAGTGGCCACATATAGAATTGCTGTCTTAGAATGAAAGCAGTCAAGAATGAAGAAATCAAAGTAACTAAGGAATTCCTGTCCTTTTGGGGTCTCATGGGAAAAAAAAATCCCTTCTCACCTCTGTAAGTGGTATGTGTCTTCTTCAATCTCAGGTCCTCTACAGGAGGCCTGAGAGTTTGAGGGTTCTGCACAGTATCTTAGCTGTTCCTGGCACTGCGCTCTTCTGGACAGAGAGCTCTGATGTTGTTCCTGGGATCTGCTGGAGCCACTCTCCCAGCTTAGGAGTCACAGCCCCGAGTCGTCCTACCACCACTGGGTCCGCTTTGGCCTTTACTTTCCACATCCTCTCTAGTTCCTCCTTCAGGCCCTGGTATTTCTCCAGCTTCTCATACTCCTTCCTGATGTTGCTGTCACTTGGCACTGCTACATCTATCACTACTCCTGTCTTCTGGTATTTGGAATTCCTTAGTTACTTTGATTCAGAGAGCTCTGATGTTGTTCCTGGGATCTGTTGGAGCCACTCTCCCAGCTTAGGAGTTACAGCCCCGAGTCGTCCTACCACCACTGGGTCCGCTTTGGCCTTTACTTTCCACATCCTCTCTAGTTCCTCCTTCAGGCCCTGGTATTTCTCCAGCTTCTCATACTCCTTCCTGATGTTGCTGTCACTTGGCACTGCTACATCTATCACTACTGCTGTCTTCTGGTATTTGTCCACTAAGCAGCTGGATAATGTAGTGGTTAGAGCACTACCTTTGATGCAGGAGACCAGGGTTCAAATCCCAGCTGGTACCTACCTTACCAGTAGGAGTCCTT